TGTTTCATTATTATTATGAGCTATTTGCACAAAAATACAATAGTTAATATGTCAAATTCATATACATGTTTCAAACTTTTGCTCATCTTTAAGCCATATACAGTATAACAAATTTCCCAATAACTTAATATTGTAAATGTTTATAAGTGTAAATACCATACTTCCTGATACTTCCTAAATTCTAAGATGCACCATGAATTTGAAATTGAATTTTACAATTTTTTTATGGAATAAAAAACTTTTAACACTTTTGATACCACAAGAATCACTGATGTTCCTTACTTGTATTATAGTTTACCACTGTGTAATGTAGGTTCCATATGTTACTCAATATTAATTTACACATTTCAATTTCTATAAACCTGGCAAACAAGTGATGCTTTGAATTTTATAGCATGGCACACAAAGAATATCATTCTATACAATTATAATTTGTGCTGCCATTTTACATGATTTTATTCAACTATTAAAAATACTCTTTGTAAGTTCAGACAAAGGAAATACTGTTGGGTGAGCTCATAATTGCAATTTAAAACTGACACATAATTTACAGTTGTGCATAACTATATCCCCTTTCACACTGACTTTAAAACACAGATAATCCACAATATTTGCTAAAATTACAGTAATCTATCTGCAAACTCATCCAAATTGATACTACCATTGCTTATTGTAAAAATAAGTGCACATTATAAAGGTTTAAATTTCAAAGTTTAAGAATGTATGTAAATTTTCTTATGAATGACAAATTAATTGAGAACAAATGCCCGAATCAACTGACAAGCATAAATGTAAACTGCCAGATTAATTTTGAGTTACATTAAAGTAATTTAATTATTGAAATTTGGTCTAAGGGTAAATTATTGGGTCATTAATTTTCATAAAGATCAGTAATTAGAAATTAATTAATTTTTTTATTTTAAAACAACTATTATTAATTATTTAAGTCAATTTGTAACACAAAAAAAATATCAACTAATTTATTAACAAGTACTTACTTCATTGTCGGCAACATTAGGATTAGCACCATTTGCAAGTAAAACAGATGTACAATTAATGTGACCCTCGTGGCTGGCACAGTATAAAGGTGTTCTTCTGTTAAAGTGCAATAAATGATTATTACTATTTCTAAATAGATTATTACAAAAACATAATTATAAAATAAAAATAAAAGATACAGGTAAAAAAAGAGTAAAAGATGTTCTTTATGCTGACCTACAAAAATTGTTGATAAATTCTTTGTTATTTAATTTTTAATTAATTTATAATAAGTAATTATTTTTCATAATAATCTCAATGCCAAGTTTGAGATTTTTACAAATTCTCAATTGCTTAGTTTGAGTTGAGTTGTTCAATTAACAATTTCAATTTTGATTTTCTTTAATTACTAAATAAATAAAATTTAATTTGTATTGATTTTAAGTAATTAGTTGAAAAACTACCTATTTTAGACATAATTGAAAGATTTGATGGCAATGAAATTACTCATTACAAATGATTAATTTTGAGATAAGTAATATTTAATGTTTTGTTGAAAACTTAAAATTTAGTAAATTATGTTTCAGTAATATACAGTAATTCTTTTGCATTACGTAGACACTGATGGCAAACATATTATATAAATCAAAATTAATAATTATAATTAAATTAAATAATTTTTAGAAATTCTGGAAGAAAATAATCGGTTCAGAGCAGGACTCGAACCCACAACTCCCACTTACCAAAACTAATTAAATTTATACGCAGAAATATAGCCCGATGGAATCCGGTAGTTGTTTGGGATAATACAAATTTATCGAGTTTGAGAGATGTTTGTTTATATATAAATCAAAAACTTTAAAAGCTTATACACAGAGATTAAAAACAAATCTAATTTAAAAAATAAAAATAAAATCCAGTTAGTAAAATTAAAATTTTTATTTTACTAACTGGATTTTAGGTTTGGAAGTGTTATCGTATTATACAGGGTGTATCAGAATGATGGTTTAAAAATTTGGGGGATTGTAGAGGATGAAATTTTGAACGTTTTGATATAAGGAACCCATAGCCGGAAATTTGAACTAAAGTGTCTACAGCACTATTGCACGTTCTATGCAGTCGGTATCTGAATGAAACAGCAGAATACAGTATTTATGACAAGTTTTATTGACAAAACAGTAGAGAGCAATCAAACTGTACATCGAATTAGTGGCTGCACTACTTTAGAGTAAATGTTTAATGTGACGACCACTAACTTCGTTACATAATGTGCAATGACGAACCATGTTTTGTCCGACTCTCTGTAAGATGCCATGCTCCCCTCTGATGGTGACCAGAAGGACGACAAGCACAAAGTGCACAATGTCCTGTACACAGGCTCAGTTAGACCATTGTAGTTTTGTGTTTACAGTCTTTCATCTGCAGCAATAACATGATGTCAATGGACGGAAGGGTAGCTACCAAAGTGAAGGGCGATCAAACACTTAGGCCGCTGTAGACACTTTAGTTCAAATTTCCGGCTATGGGTTCCTTATATCAAAACGTTCAAAATTTCATCCTCTACAATCCCCAAATTTTTAAAACGTCATTCTGATACACCCTGTATATGTACAGTTCGGGATAGGGTTTTTACATAAATCTAATTTTCAATCTCTGTGTGTATAAGTTGCTATTTCTAGATATTAATAAAGGTTTATAAAATGATAAAAGAACTCAAATCTTCCTCACTATTCTTTCGATCTCACCAAAATCATCCAAATCTATTTTCTTAATCTCTGCTATTTTTTAATTGCAGTTATTACAATTTGTTAACAGTATTTCAGATAATGGTATGTAATTTAATATTTCAGATAGTATGTAATGATGTAAGATTAATCAAAATAATGAAAAAAATTATATTATATTTATGTATTGAAGGTAGAGAGGCACCAGAGCATGTGCTCTCTTTTTATTTTTTGGAATATTTGAAATTGGTAATTTGTTCAAATAGAGATACAAACTTTATTAGACATAAGAAAGCAATATATTATTTGTATTATTGTGCCCCTCTTCTCATCTTTATTCCAGATCTGCCATTGTACCGTAAGGATTGTACAATTGTCAAATTGTCAGTACTGACAATTTGACAATTGTATAATCCTTACGGTACAATGGCAGATCTGGAATAAAGATGAGAAGAGGGGCACAATAATACAAATAATATATTGCTTTCTTATGTCTAATAAAGTTTGTATCTCTATTTGAACAAATTACCAATTTCAAATATTCCAAAAAATAAAAAGAGAGCACATGCTCTGGTGCCTCTCTACCTTCAATACATAAATATAATATAATTTTTTTCATTATTTTGATTAATCTTACATCATTACATACTATCTGAAATATTAAATTACATACCATTATCTGAAATACTGTTAACAAATTGTAATAACTGCAATTAAAAAATAGCAGAGATTAAGAAAATAGATTTGGATGATTTTGGTGAGATCGAAAGAATAGTGAGGAAGATTTGAGTTCTTTTATCATTTTATAAACCTTTATTAATATCTAGAAATAGCAACTTATACACACAGAGATTGAAAATTAGATTTATGTAAAAACCCTATCCCGAACTGTACATATACAGGGTGTATCAGAATGACGTTTTAAAAATTTGGGGATTGTAGAGGATGAAATTTTGAACGTTTTGATATAAGGAACCCATAGCCGGAAATTTGAACTAAAGTGTCTACAGCGGCCTAAGTGTTTGATCGCCCTTCACTTTGGTAGCTACCCTTCCGTCCATTGACATCATGTTATTGCTGCAGATGAAAGACTGTAAACACAAAACTACAATGGTCTAACTGAGCCTGTGTACAGGACATTGTGCACTTTGTGCTTGTCGTCCTTCTGGTCACCATCAGAGGGGAGCATGGCATCTTACAGAGAGTCGGACAAAACATGGTTCGTCATTGCACATTATGTAACGAAGTTAGTGGTCGTCACATTAAACATTTACTCTAAAGTAGTGCAGCCACTAATTCGATGTACAGTTTGATTGCTCTCTACTGTTTTGTCAATAAAACTTGTCATAAATACTGTATTCTGCTGTTTCATTCAGATACCGACTGCATAGAACGTGCAATAGTGCTGTAGACACTTTAGTTCAAATTTCCGGCTATGGGTTCCTTATATCAAAACGTTCAAAATTTCATCCTCTACAATCCCCCAAATTTTTAAACCATCATTCTGATACACCCTGTATAATACGATAACACTTCCAAACCTAAAATCCAGTTAGTAAAATAAAAATTTTAATTTTACTAACTGGATTTTATTTTTATTTTTTAAATTAGATTTGTTTTTAATCTCTGTGTATAAGCTTTTAAAGTTTTTGATTTATATATAAACAAACATCTCTCAAACTCGATAAATTTGTATTATCCCAAACAACTACCGGATTCCATCGGGCTATATTTCTGCGTATAAATTTAATTAGTTTTGGTAAGTGGGAGTTGTGGGTTCGAGTCCTGCTCTGAACCGATTATTTTCTTCCAGAATTTCTAAAAATTATTTAATTTAATTATAATTATTAATTTTGATTTATATAATATGTTTGCCATCAGTGTCTACGTAATGCAAAAGAATTACTGTATATTACTGAAACATAATTTACTAAATTTTAAGTTTTCAACAAAACATTAAATATTACTTATCTCAAAATTAATCATTTGTAATGAGTAATTTCATTGCCATCAAATCTTTCAATTATGTCTAAAATAGGTAGTTTTTCAACTAATTACTTAAAATCAATACAAATTAAATTTTATTTATTTAGTAATTAAAGAAAATCAAAATTGAAATTGTTAATTGAACAACTCAACTCAAACTAAGCAATTGAGAATTTGTAAAAATCTCAAACTTGGCATTGAGATTATTATGAAAAATAATTACTTATTATAAATTAATTAAAAATTAAATAACAAAGAATTTATCAACAATTTTTGTAGGTCAGCATAAAGAACATCTTTTACTCTTTTTTTACCTGTATCTTTTATTTTTATTTTATAATTATGTTTTTGTAATAATCTATTTAGAAATAGTAATAATCATTTATTGCACTTTAACAGAAGAACACCTTTATACTGTGCCAGCCACGAGGGTCACATTAATTGTACATCTGTTTTACTTGCAAATGGTGCTAATCCTAATGTTGCCGACAATGAAGTAAGTACTTGTTAATAAATTAGTTGATATTTTTTTTGTGTTACAAATTGACTTAAATAATTAATAATAGTTGTTTTAAAATAAAAAAATTAATTAATTTCTAATTACTGATCTTTATGAAAATTAATGACCCAATAATTTACCCTTAGACCAAATTTCAATAATTAAATTACTTTAATGTAACTCAAAATTAATCTGGCAGTTTACATTTATGCTTGTCAGTTGATTCGGGCATTTGTTCTCAATTAATTTGTCATTCATAAGAAAATTTACATACATTCTTAAACTTTGAAATTTAAACCTTTATAATGTGCACTTATTTTTACAATAAGCAATGGTAGTATCAATTTGGATGAGTTTGCAGATAGATTACTGTAATTTTAGCAAATATTGTGGATTATCTGTGTTTTAAAGTCAGTGTGAAAGGGGATATAGTTATGCACAACTGTAAATTATGTGTCAGTTTTAAATTGCAATTATGAGCTCACCCAACAGTATTTCCTTTGTCTGAACTTACAAAGAGTATTTTTAATAGTTGAATAAAATCATGTAAAATGGCAGCACAAATTATAATTGTATAGAATGATATTCTTTGTGTGCCATGCTATAAAATTCAAAGCATCACTTGTTTGCCAGGTTTATAGAAATTGAAATGTGTAAATTAATATTGAGTAACATATGGAACCTACATTACACAGTGGTAAACTATAATACAAGTAAGGAACATCAGTGATTCTTGTGGTATCAAAAGTGTTAAAAGTTTTTTATTCCATAAAAAAATTGTAAAATTCAATTTCAAATTCATGGTGCATCTTAGAATTTAGGAAGTATCAGGAAGTATGGTATTTACACTTATAAACATTTACAATATTAAGTTATTGGGAAATTTGTTATACTGTATATGGCTTAAAGATGAGCAAAAGTTTGAAACATGTATATGAATTTGACATATTAACTATTGTATTTTTGTGCAAATAGCTCATAATAATAATGAAACAATTATATTTTGTATAATTTTTTTCAATAAATTCATTGGAGGATTTTTTCTTTAAAATAACATCATACAAATTAATTTTACTTTTTATCTTTTCTTCTTCACCCTTAATCCAGTGAAGCCATAGACCAAAGACCTCAATCTCTTTCTATCTTTCTACCACTCCTCTGCAAACACCATTGTTACATTGTCAGTCCTTTTTCGTAGGTCTTCAGCTCTTTTGTCTATCCACCTCTTTCTGGGTCTTCCCCTATCTCCTTCTCCAATATTAACTTTGGTATTCTATTTTTTTGCAATCTCTTGGTATGTCCAAACTCTCTTGGTATAATTTGTTCTATCTTCTTCCCAAATTTTTTATTCCTGTTCTTTCCCTTAATTCTTCATTCATTATCCTGTCTCTTCTGGTCTTTTTTGGCATGCTCCTGAGGAATTTCATTTCTGCTGCCTGTATATTTGTCTTTTCACCATGATGTAGTCCATGCTGCATAATTGAGATAATATTGATAATTGATAAAGGACCTCCTTATATTTGAGTGGCACTTCCTTTTTCCAGATCAAAGTGCTCATACTCTGGTAGAAGCCATCATCATATGGTATTCTACTTATTTCTTTGCTTATCTTTCCATCCTTTAATACTTTTGCTCCCAGGTATCTAAAACCATCAACATCCTCTAATCATTCTCCATTCGGTTCAATTTTCTCTCTTCCCTCCCACGTTCTTCTTGAAATCACCACTGTTTTGCTTTTTGCTTGGTTTATCTTCATTCCCCACTCCTCTAGCTCCCTGTTCCAACATACAATTGATGTTGGACTTCTTCTGTCTTTCACCAATACTATGTCATCTGAAAATAGCCAAGTCCACAACTTCTTTCCATTAGGGCTTTTTTTACATTCTTATGGATTTCATCCATTGTGATTATAAACAGAAGTGATAACAAAACACTTCATTGTCGAAGTCCTGTCTTTACTTCGAACCACTCAGTTTTCCCAACTCCTGTCTTGAAACAACTTAGGCTTATGATATACATTGCTTGTATCTGATTTATAATTTTTGCTAAGAGAGAGATGCCCTTACTCTAGTGCCTTCCACACCATCTGTCTTGGGACACTATCATATTCTAGTGTCACAAGACAGATGGTGTGGAAGGCCCTAGAGTAAGGGCATCTCTCTTTTTTTCTCACTATCTATAAAAGTCATTATTAAGTCTTTTTTGTATTCTCAACTCTTGTCTATCAGTAGTCTCACAGAGAATATCAGATTTGTGTTAGATTGGTTCCTTCTGAACCCATGTTCCTCTTCTAGTTGGTGTTCCACCACTTTTCTGATTTTGCACTAGTCTAAACCTCTTTCATAAATCTTGGCAACATGAGGTAATGTGATCACTGTAATTTTCACCTTTTTTTCTATAACCTTTCTTGAATATTGGGACTATAATACCTTTTCTCCATTCAGATGATACTTTATCTCTTCATGCTGCCTTAATACCTTCATAATCTTTGTTAGCCAACATATCCCCATGAGATTCTATGCACTGATCATATCCACTGTGACTTGGTCAGTTCTTTCAGCTTTGCCCATCTTTATCACAATAAAATTTACTAATGAATCCACTATATTCTAACATGTATTTTGTATTATAATTTATTGTAATTCTATCAAAATCTTCAAGTATATTTACATTAATAGAAGGATCACCCAAAGTTAAATAAAAATTTATCTTTAAGAAGCATATGCGGTTTAAGCAAATCCAAAAAATCCCTTCAAGATGAATGAAAAGTTGTGCGAAGCAAATAAATCATTTTCAGTTTTTTATTATTTGAGTTATTTGCATCAATAAACATTATATGGATTTGGGCTTTTATTTACATCTTATTTAGGGCTAACTATAATGTAAAAAGACCAAAATTTTAATAATTACCTTTTATTATTTTAGGGTAAAATCCCTCTTCATGTTGCTTGTTTGAATGGCTGTCTGGATGTTGTGAGATTATTATGTGAATATGGTGTTCATGTTAATTGCATGGCTGCAGTAAATAAAAGGTAATTTTGTAAATATTTAATAAAAATTTCTAATTGTCAAGTAATTAAATAATTATGTATTTGATAATTTCATTAATTATATAACAATAATTTTAAAAATTGCTGGAAGACTGAGATTGTAAATGGCTCAGCTTATAATTCTGGCATTTAGATTCAAATCTGAGTCCAAATCTCAGAAATTTTCAAGGATGATTTGAATGTGCCAAACCTCTCCCTTGCCATCCAGCTGCCTTGTTGTAGGTCTGATTCCATGTGAAGCCTGAGAAAAAGCTCTGTTAATGCTCTCGGTATAGAGAAAGACAAAAATAACTATCTCTAAAATTACAAAATTCTATTAAGAAATAGGTTTCAAAATTTTTTCACATAAATTTATTAGACTTATTCTATTTTCATTGCTGATTACCAATTTATTCATTATGGTTTTTTGCAAATTTTGTTTATCTCTTACATTTTTCTTGAATTCCTTCTTGAACATCTGTTTGAATATTCAGTTTGGTTTGAAAAACAGATTTGTTTTGATTACAGAATAATCACAATATATATATATAGTAAACTTTTGTAAATTTGAAATTAATTCATTTGAGTTTAGTAGATTCTACTATATTGTGAGAACCAAGGGTAGTTGATTATATTTTATACCACTTATTTTGCAGGATCTTGCGGATCTGTCACAGGGTCGTAGGATGGCTTAAAAATATGTTTTAGATCAAAGATTGTAAAATTCCGATCTACAGTCAGGATTCCTGACACCAGATAGGGATGGGATCTATGTCCTATCACACGTTTAAGTATAATTTTAGAGGAGGGCTGTTACAATGATGAGTGGGGAGAGTCCTGGGCAAGTGATAAGACTTAGCTTGGAGCCGAGTTCAAAGAGGAGACCATCTTTCAATATCAAATGAAATTTAATAATAAGAAACTATAAGTAGATTACAATTTAACAAGAGATTTCTACTCCTTGTTTGATCTTGCGAGAGAGAGAGCTTACAAAAATATATATACTACCTCAGCTGGTATATATTGTGTGGACTCTTGTTCAGCAATATGATGTAATACAGCAGTGGAGGTTTGGTGAAGACGGAGGAGATTGGCGGAGGATTGTCAAGGACTTCTCGGCACAACAAAAAAGTCATGAGCTCAGAGACTTTGGTTATGGAGCTGAGGGAAATTTTCGGCAAACTCCTCGATTGGAGGAAATTGCTTGTTTTGTTCTCTGTTTGAACCAATAAAATCAAATGGTTTTTTGTACGTAAATGGGATGTTCGGGGATGTGTTGAGGGGGTGGACAACCAGATGGTGGTCAAATTTGACAGATAAGGGTTGTTAGAAGGAAAGTCAATTTCCTTTTTGTCAGAAAAGTGACAAATGTGCTTCCTCTAGTGAAACATCTTTAAGAAAGAAATTAGTTTCTCACGATAAATTATTAGCAACTTGAAGAGAAAATAATTACTTTTTCCATGTAGTAAAAATTATATTCTCGTTTTCTTCATTGAAAGATGAAGGAAATGACATCGGGTCTCCGCTATAGGAGCAGTTCCCAATCCAAAACAGCACACAAATTTAGATTGATGTATTTAGCTTCATAATTTAATCAATTTAATTATATAATTCCCATTCTGATTCTCACAATAATTTAAGTATTAACATTATGTTAAATATGTTAATTCTAAATTTTAACTGTCAGCTTAAGAATTATTACACCTTATTTTCTGGCAAGTATTTGATTTCTGCAAACATTTTCAGCTGTATTAAATGCCTGTCTTCAGGCTGAATAAAACATTATCGAACAGACATAATTTCCAGAAATGGAACTTACTATTCATACAGTTTAAAATTTGATGCACAAAAGAACATTCCAAATCTTAATGAGAAAAAATTTTCAAAATAATTTCTTTTTTTAAAAAATTAAAAACAATCTTCTGAATTCAAAAAACAAGTTTCAATTTTAATTTAAAAACAGTAGAATACAATTGAAAACAATAAAAAACCAATCTGTCTTTAAGCATCCTTAAGTCATTCAGGAGTCTCATATAGGGATTTCCATGTCTTAAATTAATGCAGACATACTGTATGGCAGACTTGCAGATCTCTATTCATTCTAGCATTTGTAAATCTTTCATTTCATGTACTGAGTGGATCGATACTAATCATTGGTATTTTTGTTTAAATTATGAGTCTTAACTCTCAGATAATTTAAACAAAAATAAATTGCACAAAGTATTACAAATGATACTTCATTGCTTACTGTTCTCTCAATTAGTTGTATTTCCTTTGGAATTAGCACAAGATTGCTGTTGAGAACAAATCACACAAGAACTCTCTTTTTGATGGAAAAAGTAAGTTTATTTTCTATAATTTAGAAAGGCTTAATGCTGCTCTTTAGTCTTATTTTATTAAATATATCAGCAAAAAATTATGTAAGAATTACAGAATATATTAAATTATATTTAATAATGCATAGAAAAGTTTTCTCAAAAAATATAATTACCTGAAAATTATTATAGTGTCAGCTGGAATAACTAATTAAAAGCATTTGGTAAAAATAAGTAAATAAATAAATGTAGTAAAATATTAAAATAATATGACAGCATATCTGTAGAAATAAAATTATTTTTGTTAAATTGTGTAAAACTATGGGCTAGTATAAGTAAGACTGAAATATATTATAAAATAAATAAATAAAAGGATATAATAAAATGTTGTAAAAATAATAAGAGGGTGTACCTTTAAAAATAAATATAATTTTGTTAAAATATATGAAAGCTTTTGATTAAAAAGTTTTTGTACATTTAATAATACATGGCACGGAGTACTGAAAGTTACATTATTTTATTAATTACATACTAAACAGTGACATAAGCAGAGTGAAGTGCTGCGCAGCTCTTCAGGAAAAAAACTGAATCACTCTGTTTCTCAAGAAGATCCTAGCATTATGTAACATTTCTTGTAAACACTATTCACCCGCTTGTAATGTAATGATTGCATGCATACCTATCCATCCACACCTGCATTACTTAATTTACAATAGCCTCTATGCTTATAAAACAAAGAATAATTTAAAATTAATTGCATTGATTGGCTAGCACAAGATGGGGGTACTTGATATAAAAAATTACAGAATGAAAAAATCTGTATTGAAAAAATTAATAAAATAAATTTTAAAAGACAAAATAGAACTGCACTATGATGAAACCCAATAAGAAGTCATTATTATCTGGAATACTGGATAAATCTCTTATTCTATAAAATAAGAGATTTATAGTTTTTCTTCTCATCTTTTTAGGAATGGCATTTCTTTATAATGTGCACTGTATTGTTCAAATTTTGGGCATTAGATTTTTCTATAGAGCACGTTACATTTCTGGCTTATTGATATTTAGATAGTAGAAAGTTGTGGTAATTATTGTTTATCGTTTACCATTTAAAATAGTTATTCTTTTTAATTGATATAAAAAACATGTCTATATGTTTTTTCATTTAATTTTTTCTAAATTAATTTTATTCTATATTCTTATTCACATATTTGTTGAAGTTTAATAAAAAGTCTTAATAAATTTAGAACATTAACTTTATATTATTTCAGACAAATAAATATTTTTTCAGTTTTTAGCAAGTTATAAATTGTATTATTTGCTAATAATGTATTATTTACATTACAATAGATGCACTCCACTGGATTATGCATTGAAATCAGAACAGACGGAAATAGCACAGATTCTTATAGAGTCGGGAGGCCTGACGTCTTTGGATATCGAAACGATTGCTGCCGCCGTGATTCAGGTACAAAAAAGTTTAATATGTAATATTGTAATTATGATCATTGATTTTTTATTATAATTTGATTTTATATTACACTTGAATGAAGTAAATATCATTGTAAGAAATTAATAAATGATGATAAAATATTCTGAAGTCGGCATGGCAATTGATCTCTATGTTTATAAATTGATATATTGTGGAAGCAAACATTGGGAACTCTTGGTTCTGTAACTGGTGATGTATACGCACAGTAGGCAGAATTTTGGGTTTGAATTTCACTCCAAGCTAATCTTTATATTCATAATCTAGTAAATTATTTAGTTTGATTGAAAATGTATTTACAATTAGTAAGTACAAGATGATGGACTAATCACCTACCTTTAGGCAAAATTACACCATTTAATCATTTAATTGTTACCTTAGTTATAGCCTGAAAATTTGGAATGTAGTTATTTAGATATGAAAATAATATCCAGTGATTATATATTCTTTGTATGTGTTTATATATATATTAGCATTATTCAATTACTTTATCTGTAGTCAATAGATATACATATATAACATAACTACAAAAACCCTAATTTGATAGTGAGGCATAAATTTAAATCACTGGATTATTTTGAATCATATATTAATTTTTTGAATTCTAATAATCTAAACAAAAGATTAGCTACTTTAATACATATCAGCTAATAATTTAATACATAATCCAAAATTTAGATTTAGATTTATGGTTTATATATATTTGAATTATTTATTTCATTTTAAAACTTAGTAAGTTTACAATGTTGAAGTACCTTAAATATTTTGACAACAGTTAAGTTTGATTAGTTTTAAAGAAAATAAGAATTTGCATAATCTCCCTTTGCCTGTTATTTGAAATACAGTGGTACCTCAGGATATGAAATTAATTCGTTCCGAAACTGAGATCGTATCATGAAAATGTCGTAAGGTGGATCATCTTTTCTTATACGATTACATGTAAAACCAAATAATTCGTTCCAACGCGAAAAACATACTCAAATTAAAGCCAAGTAATACATTTAAAAAAANCTTTTTTCACGGAAAAAAACAAAATTACTTTCCAAACAACCCAATATTTATTAATGTAATTAGTTTTATTACTATATGATAAAATTGTACACATTTCTGATTTTTGACTGGAATGAAGTAGACAATGTTATTTGTTATTTTCCATTTATTTCAAATTTTTAAATCTTATAGTCAAAAGTTTCTGATTTCTTATGTTTTCTAATTTAGAAATAATAAGAAATATTTTATTGATATATATTTTTAACTCTATTTTTGTGTAATTTAGGGCAGCATTGGGAGGCCACGCTTACGTTTGCCAGATTTTACTTCAAAATGGATGTGATCCAAACTGTCAGGATTTTTATGGGTAAGTATAGAAAACTATAGTATAATGTAAGTTCTACTTACTTAAGTTCAACTTACTTAATTGACAATTCTGTTAACTTGAATTTTATTTTTGTTTCTACTTAACTTCTATAGATTCAATGCATTTTGTGTTTCTAAAAATCCAAGTAGTCTTGAAATATTTCATTAAATCAAAATTTAAGACTCAGAGACTTCATTTTGTGTCTGATTTTGTATGCTTCAATCCCATAGCCAGAAATAAATCATTGGGTGGCTAAGGGAGTAAGCTAAAAAGATTTTGATTGGCTTTTGTCTTGCCAGCACTAGACCTATTAGCTATAGTCCAAGTGTAAAAAACGTAACAGAACATAAGTTTATATAATGAAAGCAAAAGTATATATTATATATACTGCATATGGTCACTAAGGTGAAAGAGCTTAGCCGCCTTATAGTCTATTGCTACTAAGGATCCAGTATGCTTTCTTTTGCATTTTTGAGGGGATGAGCAACATTAATCAGAAAATTGAAGATTGGTATTGTATAGAATTATGTCTCTGAATGCATAACATAAAATTTAAAAGTAACAATCTTATTAAAAGACAGAATTATATTTTCCAGAAACTGGACCACTCTGTAACACTAAACACATCAGATAACCAGTTCCATCCAGTAACATGAAATTAACAGAGCTACGAAAGTTTTCAACCTTCTTCCAAGCTCTGCTTTAGGTTTAAAGCTAACTGTTCTACAATGGAACGTTTCAATAAGAATGTCAGCATAATGTGAATTTAAATAATTATGAACTAATCAGGAGTGCAAAGTGTGTGATTGGGCAGGAATGGATGATAAGGATGGTTTTAAATGCATCTACCACAAGCACAGAATTTGATTTTTGTCTTTAAGGTTGATACAGTTACATTTCTGGCAAGCTTTAGACCTCCACGGGCTCTAGGTCACTGATGTGATAACATGAGGGGTGATAAATATTAAACTCATCTGGTCACACTTAGCCTCAACATTATCCAAAGTATATGTGGACAGAGCAAAGAAGGGTTTCATGTTGTCAATATCATATTTATGCTCTTTTACATGCTGCTTAACCATCTCTTTGTGGCACCTGTGTAAACAGGGTCGCTATCAAATCTATTATCCTTCAGGGATTCTGTAAACCCAGGTGCCCTTTCCTTGTTTATGAGGTCTTTCTCATTTCTTAGTAGCATGTATTTAGTGGGATTACACATATATGCAATGTAAGCATCCTTATGTTTTGCTATTTATTTAAATATTGCATGCAAGTGTCATATGTAAGTACACAGTGTTTTCCTGTCCCATCTGATAGTGGTATTATTTATAATACTACAATTGCTACTCTAAACACTATACTTATTGGTTAACTGGTAGATTAAGTAATCACAAAAAGCTGTGCACTTTGCGCTATCCAGGTGATCAGACCCAGTTCACATTCAATATCCACTAAGTTGGAACAATGAGTTTGTGCTCTTTTAGTGAGGGCTCTGGAGGTGGCCAACTTGTCATAAGGACCATTGGAGCTGGCTGGTACATATAGTGGCAGGAACCAGGTTTGCAATAAACTATGGTCTCAATTTTATCATCAACAAACCAAATGCTGACATCTGTATGTATAATGGGCTTCTGTGTTACTCATCTGTTCAGCTCTTAGAAGCAGTCCATAAGGGTTATCATTTATTCATCAAGTGAGGGCATTAATATCTGATCTTGATTGCCAGATAATAATGATGTCTTCTAGATGCTGCTCTAATGCAAACCTGATTTTTGCCCATACCACATAAATGAGCATAAATAAATTATGACATTGACAACACGAAACTCTTCTCTGCTCTATCTATATATGTCTTGGATAACATTGAGGCTAAGCTTAGTAAGGTGAGTTTGATACCTAATGCCCCTCATGTGACCATAGCAGAGACTTAGAGGCCCTGGAGTTCTTTAAAGTTTGCCAGAAATGCAACTGTATCAATTGTAAAGACAAACAGTTAGCTTTAAACCTAAAACACATCTTCGAAGTTGGTTGAAAACATTTATAGATGTGTTAATTTTATGTTATTGGATGGAATTTAGGTTTATGATGTGTTCATTGTAACAATCTTATTCTTAATGCAAATTGACCTGTCAAATCTTAGCTTTTTAAAATTTTTAGGTTTTGAGGATTTCAAAATATAACAAAAATATCTGTGATTTGACAACTTGCTGAGTTATTGGCCAACCAGATTTATATATTCATCTATATGTATTGCTATATTTGAAACTAATCATTCATATTGTATAAATTTCACTGTAAAGGGTGAATTATGCGTTGACATTTTCATTGCTGATACTGACCAGTTAAACAGTGTATTGACAATTTTCATTCCATACAAGGCAAACAGGATAAGTAAAGATATTTTCAATATAATAAATGGTATCTGTCATAAAGACTATGTAGGAAAACAAAAACTGCAAAATAATTTGATATTTCTTTATGTATCTGAAAAACAAGGAGAGGGTTTTAGAAATGTTTAATGAACAACATACTCAGATAATAAGAAAATAAAGTAAATGTGAGTACCCAGATGCTGAAAAATCATTCTGAAGTGGTTTGTACAGTACAGTGTACAAGAATATTACTGTAAAAGAAAAATTTTTAGAGGACAAGTTGAACAATTTGGACAACAGTTCGGACATACCAGAATCAAAGGAGGCAGAGAATGGCTGCATAAATTTAAAAAGAGGCATGGAATGGTTGTCAATAAAATCTGTGATAAAACTACAGAAATGCAAGAGGACGATTGCTTGAAGTAGTTGAAAAGTTTACCAAAAATCGTATAGAACAGTCTTTAGTAAGTGAGATAGTGAATCTTTCTTTGCAATAGATGCAAAAGTATTCTTTATACTCAACAGACTTTGGGTTGTTGATTTTTATTTGTTTTATGATTAGGTTTTGAAGCTGCAAACCCACTAGTAGAAAGGGTGAGTCATCTCTCTGTGGAAGCTTTCCTTTTTCTCGTTTATTCTTCATCTTGTCTTTTAGGACTATTTCAATTGGATTAATGTGATAATTTGCATGTGCTGCTTTTTTCTTCTTCTGTTATTTAATGTTGAACCTGATGTCTTTGAAGCTGCAAGAAAATGTCATAAACATGTGCTTGAATCCTGATTGCACGTAAGGTAATCCGAAAAGATTGTCTGCTATTACCCTATGTGCATAATTGTACATTTTCATTAATACAATCTACATTTGGTGTTTGACAATCAAATTGACCCAACAAATGCAAAAACAACACTAAAAAATTAGGACATATTAGAACATCAAATTTTTACATTTAATCTTTGTCACAACTTTTTTACAAGGAATTCAATACTTAGTTTTTTCTCAATTTTTCTTCAACATTTAAATCATTTCTGCAACATGAGTGTTGGGGATAGCCATTTATAGAGTTAATATAATAGATGTGATGGACATGCTTGGCATTCACAGTTGGGATTACTCTGTCTTCCTGTTTATTTATACTTTGCTTACACAACTATAATGGATTTCAGGAAATAGTTTAGTTAATTAATATCATAATTGACATTAATGAGTTACTAATTGTTTTGAAGACATAATGTACCAGTACATTATTTAAGCTTAATAACATGCTGATGCATGAACTATAGTTAATACAATTGTGGGTAGCCCCTGAGGTAGGACAGAGTTGTACCTCTTCCGGGTCACGTTACAGGCTGGTTAAGCCTCCTCACTGGTCAAAGGATGGCTTATCTATTTTTTCCTATCCTGAAAAGTTGGGATTCTTTTTGCCAAGTTGAGTGGAGGAGGTGAGAGGGGTCGTCGGTCAGGCATTGGCGATATTCGAGTAAAAGACACCATTTAACAACAAAACAAAGAAGAAGGAGGGGTTCCATCACTGCCGTTCGTAAAACTTTAAAATTTTACGAACGGCAATAACAAAAATTTATTAGACAATAGCTTAGATAACATAACTAACTTCAAGATTCTACATGCGGAAGTGATGGGGTATGTGCCAAGAGAGAGAGTTTACAATATTTGTTATCATACCTCCAGGATTGTGGTTACAGAATGACGTGACTTAGATCTGGACATGATGGATGGCTCTAGACAAACGGTGATGATCGATGCTTGACTCTCAAACAACGATGATGGACCACAATTACGAACGGCAGTGATGGAACCCCTTCTTCTTTTGTCACCCCTCTTTTATATCTCAAGTCACGTTATCGTTTTACGCCAATCGCAAATTTTTTTGCGATAAGTTCCCATTGATTCATTCTCGTGTTCTGGAGAGAAAGGAAGCGGATCCGGGGAAGGAAATGTGTTCATTTTTTTGTTGTAAGATTTCAACGAGATTTCAAAAGAGGGGAAAAATGGAGGGTTACTTTGTTTAAGTTTATTCTTTAGTTAATCTTAATTTTTTTTGTTTTATTTTTATTCGGTCCAACCATCACACAATCAAAAAGAGCTTTACATCAAACAATGATGTGAAATAATCTAAAAAATCTATTAAACAGTAATAAATTATCTCAAATAGGTATGGTACATTAAACCTTATATCAAATGTAGACTTACAAATATAAACACCAGCTGAAACCTGATGCATAGCAAATAGACATCTGCAACTACTGTAAATAATTGGGCTATAATTCAGAAGTAATAATTATGAATTTCTGGATGAGGGTGTGAATGCTTTCCAAGTCGGCACCATAATAACCGACAATGATTATATCTTGAATGTATATATACTGGAAGAGGAGATTGGACCAGAGGTGTCTGGGTAGCATAACTGGCAATGTGACTGCACAGTAAGTGGGAGTTGCAGGTTCGAGTCTCACTTCAGGCTGATTCTTTTCTTTCAGTTTAATCTAAATTATTTAATTAAATATTATAATTATTAATTTTAATACAAGATGGCACCTAACACCTTCCTCTAGTGTCAAATTTATTTGTAATTCATAATTATTATTTTTAAATTATAGCCTGATTATTTATGGTAGTTGTGTGTGTCTAAATGTAGACTTGAACAACTTTTGGTTCTTCAAGTGCCATTTTTCAAATCAAGATAGAACTACTGTATCTGACTACAGTGAATATCATCATGAAGGACTTCTCCTATTGGCTACACTTCAACACAAAAATTTTTGGTGTGTAAAAATAGGAAATTCATCTGCACAATTTTCTGTTCAGCTTCCACAGAAATTTCAAAAATTATTATTATTATTATTTTGTGTTGTTTTTCTCCATATTTATATTGTATTTTATTCGTTTATGTTTTTGATCTCGAGCCAATTCAATTTTAAAACAGTGAGATAACTCTTCTTTCCCAAAGAACTGACACATTTTAAAAAGAATGTTTTATTGAAAATGTTGTATAGTAAAGAATATAGAACAAATACAAACAACAATTCCATCAATATTTTTATGAAAGAAACAAATTCTGGAAAACAAACTTTTACCATTAATTGTGATTAAGATAAATGTAGAAAGAGCTCGAATTTCAGCTAATAAACCACCTAGATGCTAAAGGTAGGCTTACCAGACGCTCTGCTTTGACCAGGACTGTTGTGGTTTGGTGATGTGGTCCCTGCGTCTCAGCCAGTTTGTCATTTTGTTCTGGTTATTTGGTAAAATTTAAAAAGTGCCAAATAGACAGGAAGTAAAGATAGTACAGCGTGGGGTAAAATGGCAATTTGGCAATTAAAATATCCCTTCTGTTACACTCATTGTTGCCAATCTAAATATTTTGTATCTAGATCTAACAAGGGAACTGTCGGAGTGTCTTCTAATAAATTTTAAAAAATTTAGTTAATAACTGCATTAAAAGTATACAAACTCTATTTTAAATTTGTAGCATTCACTAAAAGTGTTGATCAGAGTTATTAGCAATCAAATGTTGCACTACTTTATAGTAGTTTAACATAATTATGCAAATTTTTAGAAGTGAAAGGGTTGCGGAGGAAGACGGCGATATTACATTTAGAATAAATTCTGGAATTTTCAAAAATGGTTGAAGAATTAATAAAATTTTGTATACTTTTAACATAATTATTAACTAAATTTTATTAATTCGTCTCCCATACATACGGTAATGCTCCCATAATAGCTGGTCAGGAGCTATTACAAGATGCATAGGAGCAACAACAAGAATGCTTGCCTCCTGCCTTGCTGAGCATCAGGACAAGGTAGCCAAAGGAAGATGTTCTACAGAGCTCGCTAAAAAAGTTCTCGAGCAAGGCTACAACCCGTTATGGCCCAGAACGGCAATAATTAAATGCTGCAAAAGTCAAAGGCTGGTGTTCATCTGGGAAGCGCTTCTCGTGGCTACTTCAGAAACGTGCAATGTTCCCACCCTCGATCTACCCGAGGTGTGGTTTGCCTTGTATCGGCATCTAAAAAACAAAACGCGCCTAACATCGTATCGCCAATGCGGTAGCATTTCCACGCATGCGCTGCTAGCATCGTAAAATATAAAGATTCGAACATATCAAAAACTAGTTGCACGTTCTTAACGGAATTTCCAGACACCTGGTTTGAATTTAAATATTCTGTTCCATTGGAACATCCCCCTACATGTTTGTTTTGTTAAAATTTGTTCTTTTCACCTGAAGACGATGGTTATACACTCGTCGAAAGTGCTTATGTTAATACTAAAGAAACTTTATTAATGCTGAACTCAGTGAATTTGTATTCAGAAACTATACAAAGCTTGGTGTGAGTTTTTAAGTTTAAGTTTTTACTTAAAAATTAGAAAATTCTTAGATGAGTCTAAAAATATGTTTGATTTCCACTAAAAAATGCAAAAACTGCATTTAAAATAGTACAGTAGAAGCCAAGTACTTCAAGGTAATTCTTAATCCTCTCCCTCTCCCCGCAGAGGGGAATTTCGAAAAATCCCTTCTTAGTGTACTGTACATTCTGGTGACATACTCTAAGTGTGTACCAAATTTCAATTTTTAATTCCTAACCATTTGGGTTCTGCACTTATTATTATTATCAACTCATTTTGATTATATTATAAGATAAGTTGACTATACTGTATTACAAATATTATAATATATATATATATAATGCTGCATATTTGATATATTATAATATTTGAAATTGGTAATTTGTTCAAATAGAGATACAAACTTTATTAGACATAAGAAAGCAATATATTATTTGTATTATTGTGCCCCTCTTCTCATCTTTATTCCAGATCTGCCATTGTACCGTAAGGATTGTACAATTGTCAAATTGTCAGTACTGACAATTTGACAATTGTATAATCCTTACGGTACAATGGCAGATCTGGAATAAAGATGAGAAGAGGGGCACAATAATACAAATAATATATTGCTTTCTTATGTCTAATAAAGTTTGTATCTCTATTTGAACAAATTACCAATTTCAAATATTCCAAAAAATAAAAAGAGAGCACATGCTCTGGTGCCTCTCTACCTTCAATACATAAATATAATATAATTTTTTTCATTATTTTGATTAATCTTACATCATTACATACTATCTGAAATATTAAATTACATACCATTATCTGAAATACTGTTAACAAATTGTAATAACTGCAATTAAAAAATAGCAGAGATTAAGAAAATAGATTTGGATGATTTTGGTGAGATCGAAAGAATAGTGAGGAAGATTTGAGTTCTTTTATCATTTTATAAACCTTTATTAATATCTAGAAATAGCAACTTATACACACAGAGATTGAAAATTAGATTTATGTAAAAACCCTATCCCGAACTGTACATATACAGGGTGTATCAGAATGACGTTTTAAAAATTTGGGGATTGTAGAGGATGAAATTTTGAACGTTTTGATATAAGGAACCCATAGCCGGAAATTTGAACTAAAGTGTCTACAGCGGCCTAAGTGTTTGATCGCCCTTCACTTTGGTAGCTACCCTTCCGTCCATTGACATCATGTTATTGCTGCAGATGAAAGACTGTAAACACAAAACTACAATGGTCTAACTGAGCCTGTGTACAGGACATTGTGCACTTTGTGCTTGTCGTCCTTCTGGTCACCATCAGAGGGGAGCATGGCATCTTACAGAGAGTCGGACAAAACATGGTTCGTCATTGCACATTATGTAACGAAGTTAGTGGTCGTCACATTAAACATTTACTCTAAAGTAGTGCAGCCACTAATTCGATGTACAGTTTGATTGCTCTCTACTGTTTTGTCAATAAAACTTGTCATAAATACTGTATTCTGCTGTTTCATTCAGATACCGACTGCATAGAATGTGCAATAGTGCTGTAGACACTTTAGTTCAAATTTCCGGCTATGGGTTCCTTATATCAAAACGTTCAAAATTTCATCCTCTACAATCCCCCAAATTTTTAAACCATCATTCTGATACACCCTGTATAATACGATAACACTTCCAAACCTAAAATCCAGTTAGTAAAATAAAAATTTTAATTTTACTAACTGGATTTTATTTTTATTTTTTAAATTAGATTTGTTTTTAATCTCTGTGTATAAGCTTTTAAAGTTTTTGATTTATATATAAACAAACATCTCTCAAACTCGATAAATTTGTATTATCCCAAACAACTACCGGATTCCATCGGGCTATATTTCTGCGTATAAATTTAATTAGTTTTGGTAAGTGGGAGTTGTGGGTTCGAGTCCTGCTCTGAACCGATTATTTTCTTCCAGAATTTCTAAAAATTATTTAATTTAATTATAATTATTAATTTTGATTTATATAATATGTTTGCCATCAGTGTCTACGTAATGCAAAAGAATTACTGTATATTACTGAAACATAATTTACTAAATTTTAAGTTTTCAACAAAACATTAAATATTACTTATCTCAAAATTAATCATTTGTAATGAGTAATTTCATTGCCATCAAATCTTTCAATTATGTCTAAAATAGGTAGTTTTTCAACTAATTACTTAAAATCAATACAAATTAAATTTTATTTATTTAGTAATTAAAGAAAATCAAAATTGAAATTGTTAATTGAACAACTCAACTCAAACTAAGCAATTGAGAATTTGTAAAAATCTCAAACTTGGCATTGAGATTATTATGAAAAATAATTACTTATTATAAATTAATTAAAAATTAAATAACAAAGAATTTATCAACAATTTTTGTAGGTCAGCATAAAGAACATCTTTTACTCTTTTTTTACCTGTATCTTTTATTTTTATTTTATAATTATGTTTTTGTAATAATCTATTTAGAAATAGTAATAATCATTTATTGCACTTTAACAGAAGAACACCTTTATACTGTGCCAGCCACGAGGGTCACATTAATTGTACATCTGTTTTACTTGCAAATGGTGCTAATCCTAATGTTGCCGACAATGAAGTAAGTACTTGTTAATAAATTAGTTGATATTTTTTTTGTGTTACAAATTGACTTAAATAATTAATAATAGTTGTTTTAAAATAAAAAAATTAATTAATTTCTAATTACTGATCTTTATGAAAATTAATGACCCAATAATTTACCCTTAGACCAAATTTCAATAATTAAATTACTTTAATGTAACTCAAAATTAATCTGGCAGTTTACATTTATGCTTGTCAGTTGATTCGGGCATTTGTTCTCAATTAATTTGTCATTCATAAGAAAATTTACATACATTCTTAAACTTTGAAATTTAAACCTTTATAATGTGCACTTATTTTTACAATAAGCAATGGTAGTATCAATTTGGATGAGTTTGCAGATAGATTACTGTAATTTTAGCAAATATTGTGGATTATCTGTGTTTTAAAGTCAGTGTGAAAGGGGATATAGTTATGCACAACTGTAAATTATGTGTCAGTTTTAAATTGCAATTATGAGCTCACCCAACAGTATTTCCTTTGTCTGAACTTACAAAGAGTATTTTTAATAGTTGAATAAAATCATGTAAAATGGCAGCACAAATTATAATTGTATAGAATGATATTCTTTGTGTGCCATGCTATAAAATTCAAAGCATCACTTGTTTGCCAGGTTTATAGAAATTGAAATGTGTAAATTAATATTGAGTAACATATGGAACCTACATTACACAGTGGTAAACTATAATACAAGTAAGGAACATCAGTGATTCTTGTGGTATCAAAAGTGTTAAAAGTTTTTTATTCCATAAAAAAATTGTAAAATTCAATTTCAAATTCATGGTGCATCTTAGAATTTAGGAAGTATCAGGAAGTATGGTATTTACACTTATAAACATTTACAATATTAAGTTATTGGGAAATTTGTTATACTGTATATGGCTTAAAGATGAGCAAAAGTTTGAAACATGTATATGAATTTGACATATTAACTATTGTATTTTTGTGCAAATAGCTCATAATAATAATGAAACAATTATATTTTGTATAATTTTTTTCAATAAATTCATTGGAGGATTTTTTCTTTAAAATAACATCATACAAATTAATTTTACTTTTTATCTTTTCTTCTTCACCCTTAATCCAGTGAAGCCATAGACCAAAGACCTCAATCTCTTTCTATCTTTCTACCACTCCTCTGCAAACACCATTGTTACATTGTCAGTCCTTTTTCGTAGGTCTTCAGCTCTTTTGTCTATCCACCTCTTTCTGGGTCTTCCCCTATCTCCTTCTCCAATATTAACTTTGGTATTCTATTTTTTTGCAATCTCTTGGTATGTCCAAACTCTCTTGGTATAATTTGTTCTATCTTCTTCCCAAATTTTTTATTCCTGTTCTTTCCCTTAATTCTTCATTCATTATCCTGTCTCTTCTGGTCTTTTTTGGCATGCTCCTGAGGAATTTCATTTCTGCTGCCTGTATATTTGTCTTTTCACCATGATGTAGTCCATGCTGCATAATTGAGATAATATTGATAATTGATAAAGGACCTCCTTATATTTGAGTGGCACTTCCTTTTTCCAGATCAAAGTGCTCATACTCTGGTAGAAGCCATCATCATATGGTATTCTACTTATTTCTTTGCTTATCTTTCCATCCTTTAATACTTTTGCTCCCAGGTATCTAAAACCATCAACATCCTCTAATCATTCTCCATTCGGTTCAATTTTCTCTCTTCCCTCCCACGTTCTTCTTGAAATCACCACTGTTTTGCTTTTTGCTTGGTTTATCTTCATTCCCCACTCCTCTAGCTCCCTGTTCCAACATACAATTGATGTTGGACTTCTTCTGTCTTTCACCAATACTATGTCATCTGAAAATAGCCAAGTCCACAACTTCTTTCCATTAGGGCTTTTTTTACATTCTTATGGATTTCATCCATTGTGATTATAAACAGAAGTGATAACAAAACACTTCATTGTCGAAGTCCTGTCTTTACTTCGAACCACTCAGTTTTCCCAACTCCTGTCTTGAAACAACTTAGGCTTATGATATACATTGCTTGTATCTGATTTATAATTTTTGCTAAGAGAGAGATGCCCTTACTCTAGTGCCTTCCACACCATCTGTCTTGGGACACTATCATATTCTAGTGTCACAAGACAGATGGTGTGGAAGGCCCTAGAGTAAGGGCATCTCTCTTTTTTTCTCACTATCTATAAAAGTCATTATTAAGTCTTTTTTGTATTCTCAACTCTTGTCTATCAGTAGTCTCACAGAGAATATCAGATTTGTGTTAGATTGGTTCCTTCTGAACCCATGTTCCTCTTCTAGTTGGTGTTCCACCACTTTTCTGATTTTGCACTAGTCTAAACCTCTTTCATAAATCTTGGCAACATGAGGTAATGTGATCACTGTAATTTTCACCTTTTTTTCTATAACCTTTCTTGAATATTGGGACTATAATACCTTTTCTCCATTCAGATGATACTTTATCTCTTCATGCTGCCTTAATACCTTCATAATCTTTGTTAGCCAACATATCCCCATGAGATTCTATGCACTGATCATATCCACTGTGACTTGGTCAGTTCTTTCAGCTTTGCCCATCTTTATCACAATAAAATTTACTAATGAATCCACTATATTCTAACATGTATTTTGTATTATAATTTATTGTAATTCTATCAAAATCTTCAAGTATATTTACATTAATAGAAGGATCACCCAAAGTTAAATAAAAATTTATCTTTAAGAAGCATATGCGGTTTAAGCAAATCCAAAAAATCCCTTCAAGATGAATGAAAAGTTGTGCGAAGCAAATAAATCATTTTCAGTTTTTTATTATTTGAGTTATTTGCATCAATAAACATTATATGGATTTGGGCTTTTATTTACATCTTATTTAGGGCTAACTATAATGTAAAAAGACCAAAATTTTAATAATTACCTTTTATTATTTTAGGGTAAAATCCCTCTTCATGTTGCTTGTTTGAATGGCTGTCTGGATGTTGTGAGATTATTATGTGAATATGGTGTTCATGTTAATTGCATGGCTGCAGTAAATAAAAGGTAATTTTGTAAATATTTAATAAAAATTTCTAATTGTCAAGTAATTAAATAATTATGTATTTGATAATTTCATTAATTATATAACAATAATTTTAAAAATTGCTGGAAGACTGAGATTGTAAATGGCTCAGCTTATAATTCTGGCATTTAGATTCAAATCTGAGTCCAAATCTCAGAAATTTTCAAGGATGATTTGAATGTGCCAAACCTCTCCCTTGCCATCCAGCTGCCTTGTTGTAGGTCTGATTCCATGTGAAGCCTGAGAAAAAGCTCTGTTAATGCTCTCGGTATAGAGAAAGACAAAAATAACTATCTCTAAAATTACAAAATTCTATTAAGAAATAGGTTTCAAAATTTTTTCACATAAATTTATTAGACTTATTCTATTTTCATTGCTGATTACCAATTTATTCATTATGGTTTTTTGCAAATTTTGTTTATCTCTTACATTTTTCTTGAATTCCTTCTTGAACATCTGTTTGAATATTCAGTTTGGTTTGAAAAACAGATTTGTTTTGATTACAGAATAATCACAATATATATATATAGTAAACTTTTGTAAATTTGAAATTAATTCATTTGAGTTTAGTAGATTCTACTATATTGTGAGAACCAAGGGTAGTTGATTATATTTTATACCACTTATTTTGCAGGATCTTGCGGATCTGTCACAGGGTCGTAGGATGGCTTAAAAATATGTTTTAGATCAAAGATTGTAAAATTCCGATCTACAGTCAGGATTCCTGACACCAGATAGGGATGGGATCTATGTCCTATCACACGTTTAAGTATAATTTTAGAGGAGGGCTGTTACAATGATGAGTGGGGAGAGTCCTGGGCAAGTGATAAGACTTAGCTTGGAGCCGAGTTCAAAGAGGAGACCATCTTTCAATATCAAATGAAATTTAATAATAAGAAACTATAAGTAGATTACAATTTAACAAGAGATTTCTACTCCTTGTTTGATCTTGCGAGAGAGAGAGCTTACAAAAATATATATACTACCTCAGCTGGTATATATTGTGTGGACTCTTGTTCAGCAATATGATGTAATACAGCAGTGGAGGTTTGGTGAAGACGGAGGAGATTGGCGGAGGATTGTCAAGGACTTCTCGGCACAACAAAAAAGTCATGAGCTCAGAGACTTTGGTTATGGAGCTGAGGGAAATTTTCGGCAAACTCCTCGATTGGAGGAAATTGCTTGTTTTGTTCTCTGTTTGAACCAATAAAATCAAATGGTTTTTTGTACGTAAATGGGATGTTCGGGGATGTGTTGAGGGGGTGGACAACCAGATGGTGGTCAAATTTGACAGATAAGGGTTGTTAGAAGGAAAGTCAATTTCCTTTTTGTCAGAAAAGTGACAAATGTGCTTCCTCTAGTGAAACATCTTTAAGAAAGAAATTAGTTTCTCACGATAAATTATTAGCAACTTGAAGAGAAAATAATTACTTTTTCCATGTAGTAAAAATTATATTCTCGTTTTCTTCATTGAAAGATGAAGGAAATGACATCGGGTCTCCGCTATAGGAGCAGTTCCCAATCCAAAACAGCACACAAATTTAGATTGATGTATTTAGCTTCATAATTTAATCAATTTAATTATATAATTCCCATTCTGATTCTCACAATAATTTAAGTATTAACATTATGTTAAATATGTTAATTCTAAATTTTAACTGTCAGCTTAAGAATTATTACACCTTATTTTCTGGCAAGTATTTGATTTCTGCAAACATTTTCAGCTGTATTAAATGCCTGTCTTCAGGCTGAATAAAACATTATCGAACAGACATAATTTCCAGAAATGGAACTTACTATTCATACAGTTTAAAATTTGATGCACAAAAGAACATTCCAAATCTTAATGAGAAAAAATTTTCAAAATAATTTCTTTTTTTAAAAAATTAAAAACAATCTTCTGAATTCAAAAAACAAGTTTCAATTTTAATTTAAAAACAGTAGAATACAATTGAAAACAATAAAAAACCAATCTGTCTTTAAGCATCCTTAAGTCATTCAGGAGTCTCATATAGGGATTTCCATGTCTTAAATTAATGCAGACATACTGTATGGCAGACTTGCAGATCTCTATTCATTCTAGCATTTGTAAATCTTTCATTTCATGTACTGAGTGGATCGATACTAATCATTGGTATTTTTGTTTAAATTATGAGTCTTAACTCTCAGATAATTTAAACAAAAATAAATTGCACAAAGTATTACAAATGATACTTCATTGCTTACTGTTCTCTCAATTAGTTGTATTTCCTTTGGAATTAGCACAAGATTGCTGTTGAGAACAAATCACACAAGAACTCTCTTTTTGATGGAAAAAGTAAGTTTATTTTCTATAATTTAGAAAGGCTTAATGCTGCTCTTTAGTCTTATTTTATTAAATATATCAGCAAAAAATTATGTAAGAATTACAGAATATATTAAATTATATTTAATAATGCATAGAAAAGTTTTCTCAAAAAATATAATTACCTGAAAATTATTATAGTGTCAGCTGGAATAACTAATTAAAAGCATTTGGTAAAAATAAGTAAATAAATAAATGTAGTAAAATATTAAAATAATATGACAGCATATCTGTAGAAATAAAATTATTTTTGTTAAATTGTGTAAAACTATGGGCTAGTATAAGTAAGACTGAAATATATTATAAAATAAATAAATAAAAGGATATAATAAAATGTTGTAAAAATAATAAGAGGGTGTACCTTTAAAAATAAATATAATTTTGTTAAAATATATGAAAGCTTTTGATTAAAAAGTTTTTGTACATTTAATAATACATGGCACGGAGTACTGAAAGTTACATTATTTTATTAATTACATACTAAACAGTGACATAAGCAGAGTGAAGTGCTGCGCAGCTCTTCAGGAAAAAAACTGAATCACTCTGTTTCTCAAGAAGATCCTAGCATTATGTAACATTTCTTGTAAACACTATTCACCCGCTTGTAATGTAATGATTGCATGCATACCTATCCATCCACACCTGCATTACTTAATTTACAATAGCCTCTATGCTTATAAAACAAAGAATAATTTAAAATTAATTGCATTGATTGGCTAGCACAAGATGGGGGTACTTGATATAAAAAATTACAGAATGAAAAAATCTGTATTGAAAAAATTAATAAAATAAATTTTAAAAGACAAAATAGAACTGCACTATGATGAAACCCAATAAGAAGTCATTATTATCTGGAATACTGGATAAATCTCTTATTCTATAAAATAAGAGATTTATAGTTTTTCTTCTCATCTTTTTAGGAATGGCATTTCTTTATAATGTGCACTGTATTGTTCAAATTTTGGGCATTAGATTTTTCTATAGAGCACGTTACATTTCTGGCTTATTGATATTTAGATAGTAGAAAGTTGTGGTAATTATTGTTTATCGTTTACCATTTAAAATAGTTATTCTTTTTAATTGATATAAAAAACATGTCTATATGTTTTTTCATTTAATTTTTTCTAAATTAATTTTATTCTATATTCTTATTCACATATTTGTTGAAGTTTAATAAAAAGTCTTAATAAATTTAGAACATTAACTTTATATTATTTCAGACAAATAAATATTTTTTCAGTTTTTAGCAAGTTATAAATTGTATTATTTGCTAATAATGTATTATTTACATTACAATAGATGCACTCCACTGGATTATGCATTGAAATCAGAACAGACGGAAATAGCACAGATTCTTATAGAGTCGGGAGGCCTGACGTCTTTGGATATCGAAACGATTGCTGCCGCCGTGATTCAGGTACAAAAAAGTTTAATATGTAATATTGTAATTATGATCATTGATTTTTTATTATAATTTGATTTTATATTACACTTGAATGAAGTAAATATCATTGTAAGAAATTAATAAATGATGATAAAATATTCTGAAGTCGGCATGGCAATTGATCTCTATGTTTATAAATTGATATATTGTGGAAGCAAACATTGGGAACTCTTGGTTCTGTAACTGGTGATGTATACGCACAGTAGGCAGAATTTTGGGTTTGAATTTCACTCCAAGCTAATCTTTATATTCATAATCTAGTAAATTATTTAGTTTGATTGAAAATGTATTTACAATTAGTAAGTACAAGATGATGGACTAATCACCTACCTTTAGGCAAAATTACACCATTTAATCATTTAATTGTTACCTTAGTTATAGCCTGAAAATTTGGAATGTAGTTATTTAGATATGAAAATAATATCCAGTGATTATATATTCTTTGTATGTGTTTATATATATATTAGCATTATTCAATTACTTTATCTGTAGTCAATAGATATACATATATAACATAACTACAAAAACCCTAATTTGATAGTGAGGCATAAATTTAAATCACTGGATTATTTTGAATCATATATTAATTTTTTGAATTCTAATAATCTAAACAAAAGATTAGCTACTTTAATACATATCAGCTAATAATTTAATACATAATCCAAAATTTAGATTTAGATTTATGGTTTATATATATTTGAATTATTTATTTCATTTTAAAACTTAGTAAGTTTACAATGTTGAAGTACCTTAAATATTTTGACAACAGTTAAGTTTGATTAGTTTTAAAGAAAATAAGAATTTGCATAATCTCCCTTTGCCTGTTATTTGAAATACAGTGGTACCTCAGGATATGAAATTAATTCGTTCCGAAACTGAGATCGTATCATGAAAATGTCGTAAGGTGGATCATCTTTTCTTATACGATTACATGTAAAACCAAATAATTCGTTCCAACGCGAAAAACATACTCAAATTAAAGCCAAGTAATACATTTAAAAAAATAACTGTAGTAAGAAAAACAAATGAAAAATGCGAACTAATGTAACGTCGTATGGTGAGTTTTTGTTCGTATCGTGGAGCAAAAATATGTTCGAATTTCATGTCGTATCCTGAAAATTTCATATGCTGGGGCGTTCGTAACCTGAGGTACCACTGTATCTCTAATGTGTTGATGAGGTTGTTTACAATAATGGCTTGCAAATGGTTAGTGTAAATTTCATCTAATCTAATGTTTTTCTTCTTTGAGTATTAATAACCTACACAGAAATTACTAATGATGAGAAACTTACATTTAAATCATATATTGATAAACTAATAAAGAGCTTACAAAATAAGAAAGTTATATAAATGTTGTTGCCTACTTTTATCAAAAACATCATTAAGATCTTTTATACTAACTTCCACTCAAAAACTGGATGTACTGGAATTAAAATCACTAAAAAACCTAATATCCAACAGAGTAAAAGAAATAAGCGCTAATGTTTTCACCCGTTGGACACATTTTTTAGTGGTTTTAATTCTTATACTAACTATTGTATGTCCATTTGGTTTTCTACTTGTCAAACCCAAGCTAACAGATAACAGAGCATATCATTGTCTTTATCATAAAAGTGGGAAGTTATAATTTGACTAATAATGACTTACATGTATATATTTAAAAATGATCAAAACTGGTTTGAAATAGCTGCATGTTATTAGTCACGATTTCTAAGTAATACAGTCGGGAATAAAATATGCAATTCTAACCGTTCTAAATCAGTTTTAAAAACTATTGATATAAAGTTTTTCTGGGTTAACAGACTTATAAACCAACCTGTATAAAATAATTTAATACTAAATTGAGTTCTTTGAATTTTAAATGAAAATGTGGCGAGGGGTAAACGATGCGATATCAAATTGCCCAATTTAAAACGATTATTTATAGTTAGCAGATGCCGCTAGTTTCTAAATTTTGAAGTGGTAAATCCGATATTGAGAAACGAACTGGATTACGTATCTCAATTATTAGTCAACTAGCACAGGAGCCCGGAGTTTTTCGGACAGAAAGTAACGATAGCCAAGATTAAGGTTATGTAGACTATAGCCGAGCTTACCCGTTTTTACCGGGTTCAAGAATTAGGTCCACCCACTTCCGACACTAATCAGAGAAATTTTAGATGGGTCTAAAAATATGTTCGATTTCCGGCAAAAACGCATCCAACATAGTACTGTAGAACCAGGGGCCGTCTCTCGTCTCTCTCGAGCCGGTCGCTGATTGGCTAATCATTTGTTTACGTCCGGAGAGATCATCGCGATTCTGCACAACTTTTTCTCTCGAAGACCAGCGGATGGTTGTCTTTCGTCTTTTGCCTCGATTACATCCAATACGGACGACTGGATGCTATTCGTGCCCTACGATCGTATTAGAGAACCTTCTCTATCTCGGGAAAGAATATTTCCCGAGAGAAAATGCTTCTGATTTTTTTCCGGCGCCTACTCGGAAACGTCACCGATTCCATTTTTTTTAAAAATTATTTTCATCAATTACTGAACTATCGAATACGACGTTAATCGTACTTAGATAGTTAAGGAGAAATTAGATACTAATATTTCGAAAAATCTCTTCTTTGCGTACGAATTTCAACGTTTGGCCTCTACGCTTATTATTATTATCCCATCTGGATTATATATAGATTTGGCAAGTTGCAAAAATATACTTTACGATTATTTTCTGCATATGTCTTTTTAAATAAATCTCTTATAATTTCAGGCATTTTTTAAAGGGATTTTAATTAGAAAACAGATTGCGACCAGAAAAAGATTATTTAATTTTTTATCCATCAAGTAAGTACTTTAAAGCGTGCGAATATATTTTAAGATTTAAATTTACATGGAAATAAATGCCTGTATTTATAAAACGACATTGTTTTGCTAGGAAAATAAACCAGACATGGACGGGAAGAGCGTGTTCGGCCAGAAACTCTTGCTGCGGAAGCAGCGACTCGGAATTTCATCAGAGTTCGAACTTTCGAGATTTGGCACCGTTATTGGACAAGAGTTTCGAAACCAGACCGAAAAGTAAAATTCCCGTCGCCGTGTGGAGAAACGGCAAATTAAAATTTCTGCAATCTTTAGAACAGGCCAAACGCATAAACTGGGAAGATATAAATTATCCCAAAGGTTGCACCAGTCATTGTTATCATTGTTGCACGTGCCATTTTAAACTCGACAAGTCTTGCCACAATTGTTTTCGATTTTCCGTATTTCCGACGAAACACGGAAGTCGTTCGTTTAATAGTCTTTTGAGTAAGGAAAGGCCGAGCGCCGAAATAAGAAACCGCGCGGCTATGGTTATTCAGAGAGCCTGGAAAAGGTAACGTTTGCAAATTAACGCGGCTTTGAGGAATTCTTTACGTAAGATCAATATTTTACGTTATTTTATAGATACAAAAAATGTCAAGCTATTTTAAGATGAGGGCGGAAAGTCATTTATCCGATACGGCGAAATGGTGAGTATAATTTCCTTTTTAATTTTAATTCGGTAATGCCGACATATAACTATACGTGCTAATAATATAAAAACGAAGTAAACGTAACAATTACACGTGGAATTTAAAATAAATCGAATAAATTAATGTCTAGGTGAGATTTTCGTACGTACAGAAATAACATTGTAAAATATACATTAGCAATTTTAGCCTAAAAACTGGTAACTGCCCGCAGATGGTGGATGTACTCGAATTACGTCACCTATTATAAAAAGACACGCTTTAGAAAACTTGCTTCTCTGCAATTTTCGATAAGGGCAGACCGGAGAAGCTCACTTTCGGGTCTTTAAATTATAACGGGCACCTCCGGCGTGGCCTATCTATTACCCACGCACTCGGGCCCTTACAGAATTTTTACCGGCCACCCGATTCGGACGCGGAACAGTTTTTTAAAAATGTTTGAAATTTCTCGTCCTTTAGAGTAAAACGACGTTTTCTTTTATAGCGTATCTTATAATTGGACTGCAGTTTGAAATAAACCGGCAACGTTCAAATTTCGGTGGCTCTATCCGTTATCGTATTTTTAACTATCGTAAAATGGCAAAAAGCTTAACGTCCAGGGTAGGGACGAGTTTTATAAAAAGATTTTAAATTCTAATACCCGGTAAAATTGTCGTTTAGTCCGACCTTACTGGAGATACACGCCACCCCCGTTATCTCTCCATCCCTCGACCTTTAACCGCCAAAATTTATTAGTATCGATCCCCTGAAAAACTAACTCTCCCTGCAAAATTTCAGAAATTTTCGACAAAAAGCGCGAGAGTTATTAAACGTGGACGGACGGTAAGGCTGGAACCTGTTTAATTATACTTTTAATGAAAAATATTATAAAACGTAGGTATTTATTTATTGTTGTTTTCTTTTTAGCTTATTTATTTACCGCGGCGAGTCATTTTCGGAGGAGGGAAGCCAAAGGGTAGAAGTATCCGGCAGGAAACTGTTTTATCAATTACATTATTTTAGAATTATCGGCAGGCCGACGTCTGTCGTCCGTTAGAAATCATTTACGCCGGTTCCGAAGATTTTACACGTCGACTTTTAAAAATACGCGATATACGAGATATATAAATTGGAAACTCGGGTATTTTAGCCAAATAAACGTTTTTTAACGCCCGGGCGGTTGGTAGTTGGATTTTCTTTGCCACACCTCGGGAACAAACAAAACGGTTAACGAAAGTAAAAATAACCTTTTACTTTCGCCTATTAAGTTTTATTACGGTATTGTTAAGATACTGCACTCGTGTGCCGAGCCTTTTCGTTATCCACCGGCCTAAATCCCAGGATTTTCCCACGCTTTTGTCCTTTAATTTCCATCCCGTACAAACCTCGGTCTTCCCACGCAAATACGGTAATAGGCGCGTTTTTATTCTGGATTAAAACCGCCGTACAAGTTTGCTGTACAGGTACCGCGTAACTAACGCTATTCCCGCACGTCGTTAAATTAGTTAGGTTGTGAAAACGGTTTAAAATTTGTACACTATGAATTTTTTCTATTCGTAATTTTTAATCCCAAGAAGCGCCGTTTTGACCGTCGTTGCCCGGCCGGATTGGGAGGCAGAATCGAAGAATTTTTAAATCGGCCCTAAAGGTTGAATACTATCGAGTGTCTGCTTTTGTAAATGGCTCGCGCTTTATTTTCAAAACCAACAAAATTTAATATCGAATTTTCGGTGCAACGTCTTATTAATAAATGCCCGGTGATCGACTGCGCCCTCGTCGGTACGCTGGAATATAGGCCGGATGGCCGAGCGGCGAGGTGGCAGCCTACCGCTCTGGGGGATCCGGGGTCGAAAAATCCAAAGGAATTTTTCGGGGGTTGTCCGTCTCCATACGTTGGGCCCCATTCCTATAATGGGCTAGCTAAAAGAAGCCCTCTTAGTGCCCGTAGGCCGGAATGAGTTTTAAGAAAGATACCTGGAATACTTTTTGCAGACGGGCGGTGGAAAAGCACTATTCCAGGCGTGTAGTGGACGTAAATAAATAAAATCGAGATATCCTAAATTTAAACGGATCCGGAGTAAAATGTTCTCTCCTTATTTCTTTTTACCCGTCCCGTATTTACCTTACATTTCGCCTTTGAGAGAAATGTAAATACAGGTAAAAATCTTGCAGGTACAGCTTCCCAGCGCCAAGCTTATCTTTACCAGAGAAAAATGCTAAGAAAAATTTTGACCGTCGTCTAAATCGGGGGTCACCAAACTACGGCTCGCTGCCACACTGTCACGAACGAACTAAAATACGATTATTTATATTAGATTGTAGATAAACTTACTACGTAGAAAAACTTAAAATAAGTGTAAGTAAAAGTACCGAAATTGGTCCAATCTAATTTTTGCATCCGACAGTAATATAATTTCTAGGAAAAGCAGCGAAATAAAAGATTTGGCGGCTTTTTGCCACGTTGGATATCGGAGCGCTTTTTGTGTAAGTACTGTACCTACAACCAAGTTTCTAAGAAAAGCCACTACCGGCTGGCTGCAGCCACGGTGTTTGTGTGTTGGTAAATAAATATGTCGGTTGTATTTATTTTTGTGTATTCGGTATACTGTATCGAACAAAATGGTTACGCGGCCCGCCGTGAAAAAAGTTTGGTAATCCCTGGTCTAAATCGTCATCGATTTTTACTCGGCGTAATTTTTTACATCTCGGATGTTTTCGTTCTCGTTTAATAATTATATTATTACGTCGAGACAGATCGAGCGGCGACCGCCGACCAAATGCGGCACTGTTAAGAAAAATTGATATGAAAACTTATAATTGGCGTAAAATCGAGCTTTCTAGACGGGGTAGTTTTTTCTACGAACGTTCGCAGTGCCGGACGGGACGAAGAAAATACAACTTTATTTAGCGATGTTTGCACTTTTCGATCGCTTACATTTTGGCAACCGCCTTATATAAAATCTTTTACATTTTTCACACTACTTAAGAAAACAATTTTCTTTCGAACGAGATATATGAAATTACTTCGGGTGTTTGGGGAGCAGAGAAATCGGTAACTTCGGATTCCCGTATCCTGTATGTAGTCGGTCGGTGACTTTTTTACTCGGCAGTGACTCCCGATAAAGTCAAAATACTGTACTCTAAATTTAAACGGATCGGCAGTAAAATGTCGGTCGTCTTCGCTAGTTTTATTAATAATTTAATACCGAAGAGATTTTGATTGGATTAAACTCCAATAGAAGAAGGAAGACGAGAAAGAATTTCTCGTCTTCCTTCTTCTATTGGAAAAGCACTATTCCAGGCGCATATTCATATTGAAAAGAATGCCTTTCTGAAGACGAGAAATTTGCTTTCCCCGGGGAAATGTAAATATTTAACGAAGTAAAGCGATTTTTTAGCTCGCTCCACTATAATGGTTACATGTTCCGTTCCATCCGTTTATTGCACACGCGCAACAACTACTCCATGCCAAGAATTTATAAAATTAATACTGTATTTGATTGGCTTTTGCGGGACGTGCTATCGGATGGGCTCGTTTCAAGGACTATATACTACAAGGATAGCCAGATCCCTATTCTACAATGTTAGCCAGGAATGGCAAGTTAGTGACGTCAACACGAGACCCGACCTCTCTGTTTACATAGAGCAGGGTGTGCACGTGTTTAGTTTTCGCTTTTAATATTCATCCAATTTTGTGATTAACCAAGTGATTTATTTTAATATTTTTGTAATTGTTTTATTTGACTAAGTTTTTTATAAGGTAAGATGATTTAAATATAAGTCATTAAATATTTAAAGCTATACTTTTATGTTAGGTGAAGAACAAAATGCTGCGTACTAGGTGTGCTGTGTACGGTTGCAATAATAACCTTCTTTTCTCAAATTGGAAGCAACCTGTTTACATCGGGTTTGATCAAAAAATGACAAGAGAAATACTTTTAAAATTAATAGCAGAACTTTATTTACTATCGTATAATGTAGTAGCTT